CTGGGTGACCTTTGTGGATGGTAGGTTGCGGTCTGGGCTCACTGCCGTGGGTCTCTGCCCCGGGGGAGGCCCAGGGGAGGGGGCTTTGCCCCAGGACCTACCCGCTCTCCCTCCTTGCAGGGTTCGTGATGGGCAGCCGCCTCCCTCGCCACACCTATGGCTTCATCCAGCAGGAGCTCTTCCCCTACTACTTCCACATCGGCTCCGCTTGTGCCTTCCTCAACCTGACTCTATTTGCCATGTACCACCCCAGCGAGCTGCTCAGCGATGAACAAACGACCCAGGTAGCCTCCCGCTTTAAAACGCGAGCTGGCCGTAGCTCAAATCCCTTCCTCTGCGGGGTCCCGCTCTGCTCTGCTCCACTGAGGCTGGTTTGCAAACGATGACGAGGTCCACACATGGTTCTGGTTAAAAGAAACCAGTTAGCATCCAGATTGCAGCAAGCCTTGTGCCTAAGAGGGGCTAGGGGAGAAATTTAATCCACCACATGTGCGAGATGTTCACGGTGGGTGTTACTCCCCTGCAGATCTTCGTCTTCTTTGTTTGCGTTGCTGCTTCTGTGCTGAACACACAGTGGTTCGGGCAGGTCACCTCCGACATCGTGGCAGACATGCACCTCGTCGAGCGCAGCCATGGCCTCGGCCAGGAGGTCGGGCTGTTTGCCAGCAAGTCCTGCAGGCAGCTGCGTGCCTCCAACCCCAGCTACGGGCAGCTGTCCCGGCAGCTCACGCTCTACCGGGCTCTGTCCTCCCTCTGCAACCTCTGCTGCATCGCGTGCAACGGCTTGAGCTTGTACTACTTGGCTGCCCGTCTCTCTGCCCTGTGAGAGCAGGACACTGCAAGGCGAGGGCTGGCTGGCCAGAACCAACACTCTGGGAAAAGGGAGCCATCCTGCTGCCTTGTTGTAAAGTAAACCTAAGCTTTGGAGATTAAATTTCAGCATCCTCAGATAGAGATACTTTTAACCGTATTTGTGCGTGGTGCAGAAATTTAGGAATAGCGAAATGGAAATGCTTTCTTCGGAGCTGTCTGAATCCAGCTCTGGAGTGAGAAAAATCCTCCGAGATCTAAGCAGAAGTGTTTATGGCTGAACAGCTTTTTAATGCCCCATGCACTAGATGTGTCTAAAACTGCAGTGTATTTCTGCAATCACTGAGAGATTGCAGAAGAGAAAGAAATGAGAGATTTAGAATTACTTTTAATTAAATGCTGAAAGCTAATACAGAAGCACAGAAGACCCTGTATGTTGGCTTTACCAGTTAGTGTAATGGATAAGGTGGATATGTTTGGGTTTAGAATTACTGTTTGTCATTCTCTTGTAGTATTTCATGAGGTGAGAAAAATTATTGTCTCATTTATTAGGCAGAAGTCAGTCTACTTAAAATAGACATGTTTATTTCTAGGTTATATAGGACAATCAGTAAGGTAGCAGAAGGGTCAGTAAAACACACTGCTCTGAACAAAAAGCTCTGCTTTACCCTGGCCAGCAGCAGAGCCAAGCGGTGAAAAAACAGCAGCTGCTTAATCCCAGGCAGGAATCTGACTGCATCCGTCCTGCTGCAACAGGCAGGTATCTCCCCAGCCCACTGCTGTCAAACCCCAGCAACTACAGCCCACCTCCAAGGAAATCAGTGATTTTCCACAGGTAAGTAAGTACATTCCCAGCTGCTGTTGCTTCAACTGCAGCCAGTGTTTGGCACTGCTTCAGGTTTATTTCAAAACCACATGCAGCCTATCATAGAGGCGACCTTCTGCAAGCCAGCTGGATTTCTTTTTAAACAAATAATCCCCTCTCGTAAGCCCTTCATTCTCCTATGCTGCTTTCCTGGAAGTTTCCCTGTGTGCCAAGATTATTTCTCCCCTGAAGTGTGCAAGGTATTTTTGTTCAAGCAGAAGTCTGCAGTCTGTAGCTGGGATAACAAACAGCAGCCTCTTGCACAGGGTTCCTCTTGTTTCATTCTTGCTCGTTATAGTCGATGCACCTTCTTGCCAGAGAAGTACTTCTTAGAGAAAGGAGAACGTTTTACAAATGCCAAAACTGTTGGAGTCCCAGCCTTTACAAAATACCTGCAAAGATTAAAAGGAGTCCTTTGGCTTCCTTGCAGCTGGCCAAGTGTCATGCAAAGTGAGTGACTTCCGCCCAGCTCAATAAAGACTGACCTCCCCAAGGCCAATGACAAGCTTTTTTGCTGATTAGCAGAGCCTTTCGTAGCCAGGGCTACACACATCTGAGGAGGAGTGTTTTATGAATCAACTCTTCTCCCAACAGCTACTTCTAATTAAGACAGCTGTTATTCTCCCTCTGGAAGGAGGTTTCTTTTGCAACTGCCCTTACAGCCTGAAATCTGAGGCCTTGTGCACGCTGCTGAGTTTTATGGAGTGACAGTTCAGACACAGCCCGCAGCAGTGGACCTAGAGCTCTGCTCCCACTGTGACAGACCAAGCCGCTAGCGCTGTGCGGCAGGCTTTCTCCAGCTAGCTACAAGATGGTGCAAGTTAATAGCACAGGCTTTACAATAACTTTTTGGCTTCACAAACAGCAAATTCTTCCCTCTAAATAACTGCCTAACACTTTAAAGTCAGTTTCAGAGTAAAACTGTGCTGCATGCTGTGCTGGGGGCTGCTCACGCAGCATTATTAACAGTGAGAGCATTGTTAACCTTCAACATGCTCTCTTTATATGCTGCTGCTTTTTTTTTTTTTTTTTGTTAAAGTAGCACTGTGTAGATGGAATCTGAAACAGCCCTTTTGTACTGCTGCTTGTGTGTAGCCCAACTCCCCTTCCCAACTCCATCCAGTCCTGGAAAGAGTCATTAAATTTTTTGGGGGGAGAAAAAAAAAAAAAAAAGTAAGTCGCTAAAGCCAGGGACAAAATCCACGCAGTCCTACTGCTTTACACCTTCCCCACTTAGAGATGCCAAGAATTAGGATGATTAAATCAGAGAACAAACTGCACTTAAAGCCCAAAACTCATACTTTTTGCCTTCGTGCTCTCTCTGGACATGAACAGGTACAGCCTCACCTTTGGTGCTGCAGCACTTGTAGCAACGTGTGTTCTGGGTTCAGCTTGTACATTTCTGCTCTTTCTTCATCTTCAAAATAGAGCTGAAATAATTTGGGAGGGTTATTAAATACTTAAGATACATGAAAGCAAACTACTAAGCTGTTGAGGTCCAGTAACAGCACACCGTATCTCGACTAGAGGTTTATTAAACTTCTGTACCTTGAACCGACTGTGTCAGATGCTAACTTCAGCAATGCAGAAACTGTTTTGTGTAAATTCCAAGTCTTCCCTGTATAAACCAGCTTAGCTTCTTATGGCAGGGGCAGCAGAAAAGTAAAATACACTGGCTGTTCCTGTGCTTTCCAGAGAAGCAATCCAAATCTACGGGCTGCTTTTTAACAGGTATGGTATGCAGCAATGGTATGAGCTAAACTGAGTAGGTTTAAAGATATTTGAACAAAACAGAGTAGATTTAAGAGATTCGAATCCAGCAACTGTGCCTTAGACTGTACATACACACAGAGCTATAATCCCGGTTTTTAGCCTGGTAAAGTACACAGCCACTGTCCTTTTGGACCTGTCTGCTCGCTGCACTAAGGGCTGCGCTGTTGCCTGGCACATGTGACACTGAAGTGGAAAATGAAAAACAAACATCTGTATCCTTCTATGTACAATTTCTGAAAAATTCTCCAAACCTGCCGTAGCCACAACCAACTCGCATCCCACATGTGCTAAAGTCTTAATAGACATATATTGTCTTGATGGGATTAAGTGTTTAAGCACCACCAGTTAGATCTGAAAATAACCTTTTTTTTTTTTTTTAAATTTTCTTATTTGTATTGAGCAACTTCACAACAATGCAGGTAAAAAACTGGCAGCCTACCAGCTTGATGGTCTAAATCTTAATTATCGTTACAAAGATGGTATTTATAGATATTGCTTAGATTCCCTTCTATCAAATACAACGCAAATGGAAGACAAAAGAACTTGCATTTTCATTAATGAATTCTGTGTCCATGTCAGCACATCTGGAAAATGTTTGAGTTAATAAACAAACGTAGATCTCCAAATCCTTATTTCACATCTGTGTATGGTAAACAGGTAACGATGCCATTCCCTTCATACACTCAAAGCTGCTCAGTCTCACTCCAGAAAAAAACCCCCACAACACAACAACCCTGAAACAGAAGGAAAGTCAAACTTCTCACCTCGAGATTGCCGGGAAGGTATTTTCTTTCTAAATCCCAAGGAGGTAACTCAGCAAACATCACCATTAAATGATCAATAAACCTAAAAGCCAAAATACACTTGGTTAGCTTAGATGAAGAGTTCAGCGTCAATAATTTGCACAGTTGCACTTGAATGATGGTAAAAATACATTAGCAAATTAGACAGTAGACTTGAAGGTAAGTTTAGATCACTAATAGTTTCTTCCCTTCAAACTCATTGCTTTCCCAATGAGACCAAGGCCCTGTTGTAACTCATGCTACTGGTTTCAAACTTGAGCAGTGCAACAGCAAATTATTTTTAACTTTGCATTTTCACACTGAAAAAGATGTCAAAATAAACACCCTGCATTTTGTCTAAAATTGATTTTCCTTCTAAATGGTCCCGCTGGCACCACGCTTCACCAGATCAGAGTGCTCAGAATATGCTTGTGTGTCAGAGTCTTGTTTATTTTGGTACTTCAGGAGTGCTGGTGGCCAATTTGTTCTAAGAACCCATTTTCACTTCCTTTGGTCATGAAAAGCCGTAGTGAACACTACCGTATGAGAAACACAACTTTACTAATCTGCTTGCACTGTAATTTTAAGTCCTAAACTTATTAGTAGATCTGAGGAATACATATCTCCCCACAAATAAAAAGTTTCAAATTCCAAGTTTGTTTAACATTGCAAGATCAGAAACTGAAGTTAACATCAAGGAAAGTAGAATTCCCACCTTGCCAGTCACTTGCTTATAGTCTGAAAGGTCTGCAGCACTTCAGTCAGGCCTGCTGTAAGCCCTAAGGAAAACTATGGGGCCACTGGTGCTTATGAGAGGTCCCTTTTGGAAGCCTTTTATAATTTTTAAGTTTAATCCTCTTTCCGAGGCCCCACATTTGGAGGGCTTCAAAATAGCACCTTAATGAACCTCTAAAAATCCATGCATGCGGACGGGTCACTGGTATTACTGGCCACTGGTCTAAGCTTGCACTGCAAGCCCCTTTAATCACTCTGGCTAAATACGACGAGTTTCTCTGTGCTGTAAATTTATGTGATGTCAGGATCTTGGCCCTCCTATTTTAAAGCGGCATTCGTAAATCATAGAATAATTCAGGTTGGAAAGGACCTCAGGAGGTCATCTAGTGCAACCTCCTGCTCAAAAGCAGGGTCAGCTATGAGATTAGAAATCTGGAACTACTTCATTAGCATGGCAGTGTTTCACTTGCTGCCTGTTCTCATCTACTCAGACATCTCCTTTACGCAAGAATGCTGCTGACAGTGCATTTACCTGGAGTTCTCATGAAAAGCTGCAATGAAGTCTGTTTGCTCGTGCTCAGGGTACAGAAAGAGGACAGGCCACTTCAGGTTGCCATCAGCGTCTAAGTGCACCTTTGCCCCCATGGCATTGTCAGAGTGGAACCCATCTAAGGATATCTCAGCCAGGCCATCTGATATTTCCTCTTCTTCATTCGAAGGCTCAAAAACCAGCTTGATATTTCTTTCCTGGAGGGGAGGAAGGAAAAAAAAATAAACCAACCAAAAACCAAACAGGTATGGTGGGGAGAATAAGAGCAAAAAATTAGCAGTTGGTAAAAGGACAAATTGTGTCATTCTTATTGAGTCAGCTCTTAAACATGCCATCAAAGGCCTTCCTACAGTATCAGACTCAGATGACTCGTCTTCCCAGTAGAATCCAGAACCTCAGCCAGACACCCAGACTCCTCATAAAATGGAGGAGGAGAGGTAGGAATCCAGAGAGGCCCGCATACCGAGAGAAGAGCCTGAGAAAACAGGGGGAAAGGGATCCTGTTCTTTGGGACCTAGCAGGCGTAACTTCAGGGTGCAACTACATGCACCAGCTCCCGAGAACATCCACTCTTTCAGAAAACTGAAGAAAGCTCACTCTTGTCTTTGGAAAGACAACTGCAGAAGAGGAGATCGGATTTACGTAATAGCCCAAAATATTTTAATGTAGCCCAAACATTTGCCGAGGAAGGAGAGGATCCAGGATTGATTCTCTCCTCCACCCTACTGGATGGTTGTCTTCTATCCTTCCACTGAAGTAATGCTCATTGGCAGCAAAGGAAGCAATGTTCATTGGGCCAGTGCGATGCTGCAGCCCAGCAGCCAGAGCACTCTCTTGGATGCTCACTCCATCTCCTAACACTGGGTTTGTATTTTGCATTAGTTGTTACCTGAAATATGGAAACCTGGGAGCTGGAGCTAGAGCCACGCAGATAAGGAGAATCATGGTTTTAACTCAGCTTTTTGGCTCTAGCCCTCAAAAGCCTGTGTATGAGAACCTCTTGGAGACAAACAAGAGAGCTCTTAAAAAAACCCCAACAAACAACAAAACAAACCACACAAAACCAAGCCCCCTCACCGACCCACCTTTATTGCTGCAAGCAAAATTTCCTTTTGACACTGCTCTTTCTTCTCCATCACTTTTGCTTTCCTTGCATCCCGCTCCTCAGCTCGCTACATGTAAGAAAAGGTTGTACCATGATCACACACAGCAAGTCAGTGCCCATCACTGCTCTACCCTGCCAATGAGTGGAGAAATCGGTTCAGATCTCCAGAAGGGTCTCCTCCAGCTCTTTCCCCCACACACCTCAACAACACACACTACGCGGAACCACCACTCCATTCTGTTTGGGGATATTATACTACATAGAAACTTGTATGGAGCACTCTTCAACCAAAGATCCCAAAGTGCTTCTTGACACAAAGCAGGCAACAAGCATTGTAGATGCTAGACTGCCTTAATATTTACCTTTAATTTGTCAGCTTTAGCTCTCATTTCCACAAGCTTTTTCTCTTTTGAATCTATTCGCAAGCCCTCCTCACACCATGCTATTGCTTCAGAGAAATTCTTTAGCTCCATGTGACAGAGAGCTCCTGGAAGGATTAAGATTTTAAGTTTCTAGTATTGAAGTCAGTATACAACTGCTACACAAAGTGGTGGTTATAAAGACAGCATTAGTCCTAGTGCTTTCAAGAGGCATATACAGCAGCACACGCTATTGTCTTGCGGGGTCACGTTCACTCGTAGACTTCCAGCAGGTCAGCTGAGAAGAAAATCTAAAATATTTCAGCAGTTCTTGTATCATTTGCTCACAGAAATCAGCAGAATGATGCTAGAAGTGGTTGTTACAAGCAAAATTTTATCATTATAATTAACATTTCGGTATTTGTCTCATAAGGAAAAATAAAGTGGTGATTTCCATGGAGTGAGAAATGCTGAAAAAACCACCCCAAAAAACGAGTACTGTGGAAAGCAGCAAAAGTTATGCTATGTTCTGTAGAAACAGGTCCCATGCCTCTTTGACAGATGTGGAAGCTGAAGAGCAAAACCACAGTGTTTTGATTGAAAATCCAACCCAAAATGTAGAGCTCTGTTTCTGGGAGAAAGAGTAAGAGCAAAACAAGAGAAGAGATCTGGTACAGTAACTGCTTTCCTTTTCTGAAATGAATGCTGTCTGGAAACAAAGTATGATGCACATTCACAGTAATTTAAGGTTTATAAACAGTTATTTAACACACAGAAACACACGGTGAACAAAAGCAACATCTAATAACAGTCCATTCCAGGGCTTGTTAACAGTAACAGCGTAACCAGTAAAACTAACATATTCAAAGCTGTTTTGAAATGATGTTCCTTGCGCTCCTGCAGTAACACATGCTTTAACTCTTACCTCTTATGATTGCTTTGAGATGGGTGGGCTTTAACTTTTTTGCTTGGATGGCATCACTGAGAGCAGAACGGTAGTTACCTATAAAGCAAGCAACACTGCTCAGAACCTTTCATTTATATTTAAAATCCAAGCAGATCCCAAGGTGACAAAATAGCTTATGCAGAGACTGTAATTCACTGTTTCTACAATCACTGCGAGGCGAGTGGAGGAAAAAAGAGCAAACTAAGAGCAAGAAGTAAAGGATAGGAATCCATCAGACGGGTGAGAGGTAAGTAACATGACTGTGAGCAAACCATTTCCCAACTGCAACACACAACAGCATTAAAAGGCCAAGAACACCTTCCCTGCTGCACGGATGCTGTTGGTAGGATGGGTGGTAGCTTGAGGAGGACACGGCCAGGAAGGAGTGATAGAATGTGTTGCTTCAACAGGTTTTGAAGGCCAGGGCATCCGCCTGTAGTTCCAATCACCCGTGAATCTGTTCAGCATCAAAACCCACTGGCTTTGCCCTCTCCTGGAGCCAAGGCTTGAGCAGCTGGTAATAGTTGCAACGAACAAAGCACAAACCCTGCACGCAGCCGCGCTCTAGCGAGCCAGGTCTTCAGGGTTCAAGGTGTCTTTTTCTCATGAATAAGCCATTTAGTATGCTGTATCACAAAAAAAGTAAACAAAAAGGAGACCCGAAACGGGGAGGAAAAGGAACTCTGGACGGCAGAGCCCCCTTCCCAGCCCTGTCTGAGGCAGGATGGCGCACACCTCATTACCCAGGTAAAACTGCGCGGCCCCTCGGTTTGTGTGCAGCACGGCGCCCAGCTCTGGGTCCTCGCATTTCTTTTTCAGCCCCTCGGTGTAGGCGATGACAGCTCTCCCGTAGTCCCTCTCCCTGAAGTACTCGTTCCCTTCGTTTTTGTACATCCTGGCCAGCTCTACAGCGGAAGGAAGGGGGGGGACAGGGCCTGAGCGGGGGCGCCCCAAGCCCTCTCCCCCGGCCGGGGCCCCCCCCCCCCCCCCCCCCCCCCCCCCCCCCCCCCCCCCCCCCAACCAGCTCAACCGCCAGCTTGTACTTCT